TCATATAGTATACATTATTTATGATGACATGTAGTATACACACAGACTGATTTTAATCATTTGCCTCAGTTAATTTTGATGAATGTAGTTTACATTTAATCAATGTAAGCTACATGGAAACCCAAAAGGAATTTCCACAATTAATTTGAATATTGAATAAGAGCAATAAAACAGGATTAATACTAAAATGTTGCAGCCTGCACAATCATGGGAAGATTGTTATTTAGGAGAAAAAGATACATGGAATTTCTAATTAAGTCACATAAATGATAATTATTTTTATAATATGTTCTGTTTGTAGCTCCACTTTTTGAAAGTTAGATTTTTTGTCACTGTGGTGAAACTTTTAAAGCTTAGTCAGGCAGAAAGTTCTCTTTTTAATGATCACATGTACAGCAGAGAGGCAGTTTAAAAGAAACTCTAATTACAGCCCATTAATCCGCCGAATAATGTATATTAGTTTTTCCTTCTTTTTTTTCCCATTGCGCATCTGGTTGTCCTGTCATTGAAACTTAGGAAGCATAAGGCGACACATAGTTGTGCCAAGATCCAAGACCAAGGACGCTGTGCCTCTGATGCCTCGAGGCCAGCCACACTTTGTGTCAGTGAAGCCCTTCTCCTCGGTGCTGAGCTTGTTATTTCATACTGCTCCTATTTTTACAAGACAGAAACCAAGGTTTTCGCTCACTCATGGATGACACACAACCCACGTGCTCTTTCCATTGCCTTGGGTTGCAGAATTCTTTTAAACGAGTTGCACAACCCCATCTCCTGAACAAGATCTTAGCTGGAAATTTTCACTGTTGTAATGAGAATGACACAAATTCAGTTACCTAAAACTATACATTGTGCAGTGAATGAATACTTTGTAGAGGAGAGGACACTTTGCTGCATTAGTCACCCTCGCCAACACATCATAAAAGAGCTACCACCCACCCTCTGAAATCCCTCCTGACGCTTCTTGACCTTTGAGTTTAGTTCTCTGAAGTCTGAGATGAAGGTCTCAGAAATTATATGGTAAAGTTGGCCATTCTTAAGAGATGAGGTGATCATTTATGCTGGATGTGGAAAAAAAGGTGTATGATGTGACAAGTTTTGCGTTTTTTATATTTGGATATTTGTATGGATAGTTAATATAATCTGTAACAATAAAAATAAATTTGGATCTTATTAGCTTTAAACAATGAACGTAAGAAAATACATTTTAACATTTTATATAAAATGTAATAAAAATGTTTCTGGGTAAAAATCTCACATATATTCCCCCTAAAAAAATAGCTAAAATTCAGTAAAGGCAGATCCTACAGTATATCAACAATATCGTGAAGCATTTGGAAACTTCGCCCTTTTTATATCTCAGACATCTAGCATGTAGTGCTTTTGATCATTAGAGTGAACACCAAGTTGAGATGAAACGAGTCACCTGAGGCCTTCAGAAAAAAAAAATATTTATGCAATTCGTGAGTCTCTAAAGGGATTTATAAAGGAAGAACTGGGAATAATTTCAAGTTGGAGAACTTTCCAATTAGCGTCCAATCAATAAAGAACATAGACACAGTAGAACCAAAGACCCAGGATTATAAAGGCACAAGGAATTTTGCCTGCTTTCAGAGGTTGCTTCAGGAATATGTAAGGTTATCTGTGAAAGGAAATACATCTGAAACAGAACGAGACACCGCAATATAACAATATGAAATAAAAGGTCCTTGAATGAAACAAAAGCCTTGGGGGTGATTTTAAACGAGCTATACGAAAAACTTCACCTAGTGTAAATTTGTAGACTCTTTCTTGACTCTGTTATGTAGGCCTAGGCCAGTATGATAACCCACGTATTGACCAGACTGCTCCTGTGGGTGTCTGTCTAATATGAAGAGGCTGTAGTTATTGGCCAAGGAAGGGGCAATCTGACTCATTCTGAATTGCTACTGTCATGCCCCTCGGTCTCAATGTGACAGTAAGACGACCTGACAGTCATGTGACCCAGAAAACTCCCTCCATGTGACGCTATGGAAACCCCAAACTGTTTTCATCGTGTTCATTGAGTTTTAGTATCTCGGATCAAACCAGCTCATTGATCATCACGGCTGTTTCCAATCAAAGCCTCTGAGGCGTCAGTAACAGTGCAGCTGAGATGGAGGAGGTCGATCACTGGTTTTAATGTTTGTTTGGTTGACTTTGTCCATTTTTTGGCTTGGTTAGGCAATCGACAGGTGAGTTATGTAGGAACAGTGGTCACACCCTCTGTAAAAGTATTCACACCCATTGAACTTTTTTACATTTATCAAGGTACAACAATTGCTAGTGTGGTTTATGCAATACATGTTATTTTATGCAATACACCAAGACACAATAGGGTATAATTATGTAGTAGAAAACTAAATTTACACATCAGGTAAACACACAAATGCCAAAAAAACAAAAAAAGAAAAAAGAAAGAAAAACGACGTGCTGGCAGTATCATAGTGTATGGATAATTATTTTCGGGACAGAGAGCCTGGACTGAGTTAAAGGGAAGATGGATGAAGCTACGTATATGAAATTTCTAAAGAATACTTGTTAGAGGTTGCAAAGAAGTTTGCCTTCCAGCAGAACAATGACCCTAATAATAATTTTTAAAAAATACGGTAAAATGTAAGGACAGCACAGCCATGTTGATCACTCCAGCTTTCACTGTGGTTACACTGTTTTCTTCAGTTAAAGAAGGATCCTTCTATATATTTCTTACTCCTTGAAGCAAAGTGAAACAGTAGGTGATTAATTGTGACAGGAATAAATCGATTGGCTTATACAGTAACAGGCTGGATATATTACCATAATTTCCTAACAGAAAATGAAGAGGGAGAGAAGATAGAGAGGACCCGTGGAGATTAATATTCCCATCTGCACCCTGCTGACTTGGATCCCTCAGCAAAACATGGTTGATACCTTCATTCTCTTGTTTTCTAATGACTGCTGTTCTTTCTGCATGTGGAGATTTATCCTCCTGAATGTCAGATTTACTCAGTCAGACATTAATCGCCAACTTTGAATGCAAATCAAAGCTCTGTAAACCTATTTCTGCACAGAGGGAGATCTTCTGCACCCAGAGGAGAAAAAACAATGTCCTTCTTTTCTGAGTCTCGCAGCAGTGGTTGCAACCTGCCCCCATTTCTCGGGTGCGGCACTGGGGTACGTTCAAATATTTAGCTTTGTGCACCCGACCAACTTATTTTGCAATGGATGAAAAATTGGTTTGTCTGGGAAAAAGAGCATCCAGCACCACAGCTTTAGTAAGACAGTAAGGTTCCATGTCTGCACAGTAACCCTTATTTGTCCTACTTACTATTTGAATCTTTCTCCTCACCCTCATTCACACGCGCACACACACACACACACACACACGCACACATCCCCGAGCACAGAAGTCATGATGGGCTTGGCAGCCCTGCTGATGTGATTTGGCAGTATTGGGGCATGATTCCTGCTGAATGCCCTGAAATGTTGTTTTCCCTGAGCCACCCCATTCCCACTCTGTGTCCTCTCCCCGCAGTCAACACCCACTACCACCATCTCACCAAGCATGTTCATTTAAGTGTTTACGATAGAAATACTTGCAAAGAAATATGGAGACCAAACCACCCACAATTTAATTTATGAATACAGAAATTTGCTTAAAAAATAGAAGCAAATGCATTTAAAGATACTTCAGGCTCATGAGGATCAGTGTAAATTTGTCCTGGCTATGGAACAGCGGACCAAATTTTTATAAGTGGAAGTCCACTTATATTGTCCATATTTATAGGGGTAGAGGGTGTTTGATTAGACCTGATCCTCCTCCACAATAAAGTAGATAAAAATGTATCCTGGTGCGCATTTCTCTGGAAGTTTTTCAGACATGGGTGCTGGGAGGTGCAGCCGTGGATCCAGGACATGCCCCGAAGAGGGTGCACTGTAAATCTCTTCTGGGCTTGGTACGCCTCGGGATCCCGAGAATGAATCAGCGAGTTTTGATGGGGAGAGGGATGATGCCTGAGTTTCCCTCCTGGATTTGTTAACCTGCTCCTGGATAAGAGGAGGGCAATAATTGTCTGGCTGGATGGATTGAGGTCCCTGTGACATGGGATGGTCCTCTTTCAACTATAACTTATTTTAGATTACACATCAGGTAAACACACAAATGCCAAAACAAATAAGGAAAAAAGAAAGAAAAACAATGTGCTGGCAGCATCATAGTGTATGGATAAAATCAGAACAAACTGATTTAAAAAAAATAACTGTTCTAATAAAATGATTGAAAACACAAAACAACCATCATTTTTAAACACCAGCATGTGATTTTCATTAGAGGCAGGGGACATAATAGGATGGTAGCTGAGTCAGCTCTGCTTCTACTGTTTTTATGTTGTTGTGATCATTCACCAGTGTTTGTCAATTGTTTTCAAAATGTTTGAGTGGTATAGCTAAATATAATCATCATAAATCATAAATGAAGGTGTAGTGTTTTGAGTTATATTCATGCAGATGCATCAATAAAAAAAATCACAATAAAACACCTCTAATTTGATTCAAAAGCTACAAATCATCTGTGAATGACAATTTTTCTTAAAGCTTAGGTCTTGTGAACAGTTGCCATAGCAAAATGCATATACTCAAGGATCCCCTTGGATTTTACCATTTGGAGTAATTTCTTTTAACACAACCTGGAACCCTGAACCCACACAATATTCATTTCTAATTCTAATTTCTAAAAAATATATATTTTTTGCTTGTTTGTTATTTTATTTTTCTTCTAATCTGTGTAAAGCACTTTGAATTACCCTGTTGCTGAAAATGTGCTCTAGGAATAATATTACTTTGTCTTAATTGAATAACTGCCGATAGAAATATATGCTGTAAATGTTTTATCAACGTAACAAGGTTTAAGTCTTGGTAAATGAAACTATGACATACTGACCTGCTCATATATCTTAGATTTCTGAAGTTGCAAGTAAATCTTGTCACAACTTGTGTGTCATATACAGGAATGCTGAGCAGCAATGGTTTCACGGGCTCATCCCAGAACTACAGTACCCTGCTGCTAGAGGAGGAGACTGGGCGTCTCTATGTGGGAGGCAGAGGAGCTTTATATGCGCTGAACACCTCCAACATCTCCACATCTGCAAACCTCACTGTAAGTGTGTACTGCAAGCCCAAATAAAGGTCACTTATTTCCTTTCTCTGAAAAAAAAGCAAAACTAATTTAATGAGAGATGAAAAAAACTAATAATAGCCTTAAGCAAACAGTCTGAGTAAATCCGGATTTTATGTTCATTGGCTTAACTGCACCAAGAGTTTATTTAAGGCTTTGCTGGATTTAATGAAGTAGTCAGAAAATAATGTCTGTTGTGCTTCTCTTCCTGTTTATCTGACTCATTCACGCTTTTGTTTTCCATTATTTATTTCCGTGACGTTTCTGTCTGTCTATAGAGCCAAATAATCAATTACCATGCCTTTCATTTACTGGTTTAACAGAGTCATCCTTATTACACCCCATTGTTTCCAGATTGATTGGATTGCCAGCCCCGAACAGAAGAAGCAGTGTTTAAATAAAGGCAGAAACAATCAGGTACATGCTTACATCCTTAAATATACTCCTTTCATTTTCTTTCCAAAGAGGTCTGTTTGTTCACATGATTCTTATTTTTTAGACACCAACTACTTTGTAGTTTTCTTCCTCTAAAATCTGCATGCAGTTACCAGCAGCCTGACCTTTTGTTACTAATTATGACAGCGTTATTTTCTGCTAAAAACCCTGATAAAGTGGTCTGTGTATTGGAAAGAATGAATAACCAGTTATTCTTTGTTCTCTGCAGACAGAATGTTACAACCACATCCGCTTCCTGCAGCGATTCAATGAAACTCACCTGTACGTCTGTGGAACAAATGCCTTCAGACCTCTCTGTGCTTACATAGTAAGACTTGCTGCACTTTAACTTTAAGCAAATATATTTCAATGCTATGCAAGTTTTAAACTTATTTATTTCTTTATAAATGCTTCCAATTTGCTTCCAATCAGTTTCATGTACTGAGAATCAATTGATCTTGATCAATATTGATGGATTCCCAAAAATGTTTACATCTAGGAAAAGTTTTTCAATGTTTTCCTCCCACTTAATTTTCCTTTAATTTTCTTGCATGTAGAGTTCTGCTAAAAGCCAGCTTTATTAGAAGTCACCTTTAATTACCCTTTTAAGAGCATCCCTTTTGGAGGCTCTTATTAATCGTTTGCACCAAAACTGTTTTCCCCCATGATCCTATGCTTTCCACAACATTTTGTGGAAAATATAACTTTTTCTCTCTTTATAATAGTTTGATATTCTGAGGAATTTAATTTTTGCTTTTTGTGAGCTAAAAACTCATGTCAAAATCGACTCAAATTAATGCTCAAAATAAATCACCTGATGTACATGAGTTTATATTTCTGAAATGAATTACTGAAATAATTGCTATTCTGATCTATTGAGATGCACTGAGATGCACGCACAGTTCTGCAGACCTAAATAACTAGTATCTGAAATATATTTCAGAAATCAGAAAAAAAAAAAAAGATTTAGCAGACCAGAATTCGTATCTGCCATAAACAAACTAAAATGTTTCTTTGGACCCAAAACTGACAGAAAGTCTGAAGGATTATTGGAACATATGACGATTTGGAAGCAAAAGAAAAAATTAGATTTGAGTTAAAAGTAAAATATATACAAAAAATCTATATGTATATTGTCTCATCTCTTTTACAGGATACAGAAAGGTTTAACTTCTCATCTGGTTTTGAAGAGGGAAGAGACAGATGTCCATATGACCCAGCTAAGGGATTCACTGGCCTCCTCATTGGTACGTCTCTGCAGCTTGCATTCAGATGTGGGTTGGGATTCAAAGAAGCTAGTGAAAAAAAATAGTCTCTCTTAAAATAGAGAGACTATTCCAATGTTTATCATTGCTGATTTTGTTGCTTTATTGTGGGCAACGAGTAAGGCTGTCTACTACTCTCATTTGCATATCAATATTTTTTATCCTCCTACAAACCATTTTTTTAATGGGTCACGCAGATGGTGAAATGTTCACAGCCTCTCAGTATGAGTTTCGGAGTTCACCCGACATCCGCAGAAATTTCCCCTTCCCTACTCTCAGGACAGAGGAGGCTCCAACCCGCTGGCTTCTGGGTGAATATACAATGATCTATAAGTATGCTACGTGTTATTTTTGTATTCTGAATATCTGTGGTAAGATAATATTTTCTATTGAGTCCCTTTCAAAAATTATCACACTCCTTGAACTTACACATCATAATTAAGTAAACTGCCAATAGTATAAGTTTGTTTTAATAGATAAAATTGTAGTAAGTATGTATATTTACACCCTATTACTCTGAAAGCTTTAAATAAAATATGGGGACGTGGCAGCATCATGCAGAGAGGCAAACCTTACTGCAAATAACTGAGCAGAAGTGGATGGTTCACTATCCAGCAGCACAGATAGTGAACCATCTATCTGTGCAACCAGAGCTACAGTGGAAGTTTAGATCAAAATATATTCATTTGTTAGAACGGCCTAGTCAAACTTCAAAACTAAATCAAACTGAAATTCTGTGGCAAGACTAGAAAATAAATGTTCACTAACATTTTCCAACTAATCTCACTGAGATTGAATTGTTCTGGAACGAATAATGGAGATATTTCAGTCAATATATGTGCAAAACTAGCAATCCAAACGACTAAGCAAACACTGTTTTTTGCAATGTGTTGACTTATGGACATATCAGTGTTTTGTGTATGAAAAGACATTCATATATTTTCTTCCAGTTTCCTAAACTGCATTAACAAAAAAAAATGTGGTTGCTCTGGAAAAAAGAAGTGTGAATGCTTTTGCAAAGTACAGTATTTCATTCATTCACTGTTAACCAGAATACTTGACTTGAAAATAATATACATAAAAGATGAACTGCAGCTGAAATGTTATTGTTGTGATTCAATCATATCTACAGCGCTACATCTTCAGTTTCCAAGGAGACCCTTTCCTGGCTGCTAATAGTTTTGTGTTTGGACATGTGGATCTGTGTACAGAGGCAGACTTCGTGGGCTCTGTGCTGCTGAAGGAGAGCATCAACAGCTCCATCGGCGATGATGACAAGATCTACTTCTTCTTCACGGAGAGAAGCCAGGAGCAGATTGCTTATCCCAGTCAGACCAAGGTGTCTCGGGTCGCTCGAGTCTGCAAGGTCAGAGAGCACACCGGGCAAAGCTTGAGTGAAAATGTTCATATTAATGCTCTCCCAAGAAAAAATGATTTACGAGTCGGACCACAGGGAGACATAAAGGAAGATGAAAAACACCAGCCATCAAAGAACAAAAATCACAGAATTATTTCCCCAGTTACACCAGTGACTCGGGGTGACGTGAGCTGCCACTGGTTGCTGGTAGTCAAGTCCTCACTGAATGAAGTAGCAGTTGGACGTCTCGAATTGCCGCAGCTCTTTTTGTGCTGCTGTTTCTAGGCAAACCACAAGCCTACATACTTGTACATCCAAAAGCAAACCTTTTCCTTTTTTTCCCTACCAAATCAAATCCTCCCTGTCTCTACATGTCCTCCTCTCACTTCATTTGACATCATACCACCACATTTTTCTTTTGTTTTTTTTTCTCTCTCTCTCTCTCTCTGGATGCTGGTGTGAGTGTGGTTAGAGTGTTTTTATGTTGAAATTGTATTTTCATTGATCAAAGAAGTGACTTAGAGACTCAGTTGGTGATGGAGCTTGATTTCTTATTGTTAAAACCTGTAGAAAGGACAATTTGCAACAGAACTGAATAGGGAAAAGAGCCACTTTGGAACGCCCAATTATAGTAAAAGACAAATCATTCAGAGCAGGAGAGTATTCAAAAGATTTTTGTATCAGTACCAAACTGAACCCTGTTGGGGGAGAACTAGAAAACTTAGAAAATGTTAATTCATTGCCGTTGGTTTTTTGTCAAGTATAAAAGTTGCAGACATGAATTTTGCAACTTTTACAGTGATTCATGCCCCACGGACAGACAGCCTACCATCTGTCAGCTTTTCGTACTTTTCTAATTCTGTTTATCAGTTAACAGAAAAAAAAGATAACCTGTGCAAATACAAACTTATCAAATGATTTAATTTATTAAATAAATATAGGACTGGAAGGAGGTGGAAGAGCTTGATTGTTCTGCAGTATATCGATCACAGACCACTCTGACACCAAATAGTTTCAGTTTTCACAAATATGTAAAAAAAAAAAAAAAAAAAAAACACACGAACATATGTATTTTAATAAATGTAACATCCTGCAGTTGTAAGGCTAAAAATCTCTCAACTGATCTCATTTGTCCTAATGATGTTATTCTGGAAGCCTTTGGCTTCATCCAGATGCAGCTTTGCAAAGTCTTGCTCAGAGAGGCGGAGACAGCCCCTCCAAGCAATACAGACTTGCAAAACACAAGCTTTATCTTTAGGGCAAAACTGATTACACAACTGCTGACATTTTTCAAGCTTTTCTTTTTACAGGATTTCTAAAAAAATTTAAATATTTATTTAGTGGTCAGTTCTGGGTCCAAAAGGAGTCTTTTTTCGTAATAAGGCCTTTGCATCTCACTTCATCAGAGCTGCAGAGTTGTCAGAACAGTCGAGAAAGTAATAACTCAGTCTGAAGTAGGCCACAGCAGCACATGCAGATGTCGAGCCAGTCCCTAGCCAGGCAATACACTGGTTGCAGGAAGATCTACAAATAGAGGAGACAGACATTTGCCTCTGGCCTATAACCACTGAGGAGTTATTTTTCTGAATCTAATCATTGTTCCTTATTGTCATCAAGTTCCTTACCAGTCATCGCCTGTTTTCACTAAAAATTGGAGTGCAATACATACATTTTGGGTTCATAAACTGACCCAAAAGCAGAAATCGCTGCCATAACAAAGTCATCATGATGCCCCGATCATTTGGATGTTCCATATATATTAAGCAGCAGCTAAAAATCTTTTTTTCAGTGCCTTTTCTGTTCAGCGCAGAGAACATCATCTTTCCCACAGGCATATATTACATTGCTCTGCTGCAATTTTTGACTCTTCCTCCCTTCTTGTGCTTTGATTGACAGAAATTGTAATCTGCCACTACATCCCTTAAGCTCCGTACACAATAATAACCTAGAATCATCTTTGGATGAAATACTTATTTTCTCATGATTATCCAGGACCACGCTTTGTTAGTGACATTTTATATTGTAAAAAAACTGTCTTCATCTTTTCCCTTTTCTATTAAAAAGAAATATCAGCGTTGATGGAAGCATCTTAATATGCAAGGGGTGTGTGTGGGGGCGTGCGTGCGTGTGTGTGTGTCGTATGTTGATTTTCAACACTTTGCCATTTGGTGTGGGAGGCTGAGGCAGGCGGTGCGGACTGATGTATGGCAGACGTCCCCCAACAACTCAAACACAGAAAGATGAGGCTGAAAGCCCCAGACACAAAAAATGAGTGTCTACCTCTGAACAAACAACACTAGAGCACAATTTTCCTGCGGTACCCTTTAACACTGTGGATGAAACGTAATTAGGGAAAATGCAGCTGTTTCAGTCTGCTTTATAAGATGTATATATCTCCCATTTATTGAGATGCATAGGTGCATCTCAATAAATGCACCTATGCATCTGGGAGGGTGTAATGAACCATATGGAGGTGCATCTCAATAAAGTTAGTTGTTCAGTGAAAGTGACATCCACACATTATCTACATTAACTGCACATACGATATATTTATACATTTCAATAGTATATTTCTGGTGATTTTGATAATTATGGCTATGACTCATTGATAATAATCCATTGAGTCTGTGAAGGTTTTTTAGGCATGAAGTAGTCAAACATTTCTTGCCAGACGACTGCTCTAGCAAGTCAAACTAACACCATCAGATGACATGATGTCTCAAACCATCACTGACTGTTAAAGCATATTAGATTCTGTTTGTCTCAATTTTTTTCTTGAAGCTCTGGGACTCTTTTTCCCTAGGAGAATGTAAAATCGTCTTTCTTCTAAAAAGTTCATTTTGGACCACGGAGCAGTAGTTCTGGTCATTCAATCCTCAGCCTAGTTAAGATGCTTTTGATGATGTCTCTGGGTCTGAAGTGGCTTAAAACAAGGAACACAATTTCCCTTCCCCTCAGGTTTCCATTAATAGACTTGAATTCAGCCCTCTGAACAACCAGCTTCTCTTGCAATAGCGTTTTGTTGGGTACCTGCCTTGCGGAGGGTGTAATGAACCATATGGAGGACAACTGTCAAGTCAGCGGTCTTCCGCTTCCAGAGCTTCTGGTTGTAATGTATCTCAAATACAGAGACGACATAGACGGGATCATGGTGCAATAAAGATTTAATAACAGATTTAGAAACCAGGCAACAGGAGACTGAGGCAACAGATGATCTCATGCTGATTGATAAAACTCAGAGCTATTTCTGCTGGGGAGGCTGATGATTACTGGAGTATAACACAAGTGAGAGACAGCTGCAGGAGTACAGAGAACTGATGCTCTGAGAAGAAGGTACCAGCAGAACAAGAGTAGACACTAAAAATAACCAGAAATGTAGAACAGGGGAAAGCACTAACACACATAAGACCAAAGGTAGACCAAAATACTAAACTAAAGTCATACGGATCCACAAGAAACAGATTATGAATACTGCATGAGTGTAAAGGTCATAATATAACCATAGTGTAACATACCAGTTTTTTAAAATTAATATTTAAAAAATTTTTCTTGTGTAATGTTTTTATTTTCTGACAATCAGCTCCTGTAAACTGTAAACTACAATCAAATAAAACAGAAAAAAGCTCAAACTGTTTCATTCTGTCTATAAAGAATCCACATATTTGAGTTTAACTTCTTAATTAAATGTTCTGCTTGAACTTAATCTGAAGTGGAGTTTGTGGAGTGACTGTGCAGCCAAAAATGTATCCACTCAATCTGGTGTCTACGTGTCCATTGCTTCCTCTGCCTGCAGAATGACTGGGGTGGCCAGAGGACTCTGCAGCGGAAGTGGACCACCTTTCTTAAGGCCAGAATGGTGTGTTCAGTCCCAGAGTATGAGCTTCACCTCAATGTCCTGCGTGATGTGTTTGTCCTGCAGGGGAGAGACGTGCAAAGCAGCATCTTTTATGGTGTTTTTGGCTTGGAATGGTAAGGGTTTATATGTTTATACACACAAATAATTAGTTTCCAAATTAGTTTAGGACAAAAGCGATAAATGGTGCAAATTAAAAACAAAAGTAGTTACTATGAACTGAAAAACAGGCAAAAATATTTACTATGAAACTGCAGTGGAAATTCTTTATTTCTTCTCTTTTTTACTTTTCTTTTTTCCGAACATGTACATGAGCTCAAGCGTGAAAGAATGAGTAAGCCCCTGAGCCATACTGGTCACCAGTTGTGAGGCTTGCAGACTCAGGTTTCACTTGGTTCTCATTTTTCTCAGGTGAATGCTTTGATGACTGATGTGGGGACACAATGAATTTAAGAATCTGACACACACTCTTTATTTCCCTCTCTTACTCCCTGAGTTTACTAATCTCACCTTTAGGGCACCAGACTAGGAGCCACCTGGTTTGTGATTACCAGTTTCTGATCTTGTCTTTTCACAGGTTTGGTACCAAAAACAGATCCGTTCTCCTTATGACTGAGAGGGAGGGAATTATTTTAGTTTTGCATATTTGGTGAAGAGAACCAGTGGTTATTCTTGGTGTGGATGATGGGACTAGATACTGATAGCAAACTGGGAAACCTGCATCTACTGTCTATTTTTTTTAAAGATTAGGCCTTTCATCCTGGCTGCAAGTTTCTGGATGAATATGATAACTTCCTATTGATCTTTGACTTGTCACTGATGATCTGTACTGTGTCTGAAAGTGGATCTTGGCGGCGCTAGCTTCTTCTTAGATCTCTCTGCATCATCCATCCTGATGGGTGTCCTCTGGACATGTCTTTGGGGTGTTGGATTATATTTCAGGAAGAATATCAAAGCATCCGCCATCTGCCAATACGCCTTCTCAGATGTGCGCAGAGTGTTTGAAGGACCATTCATGGAGGTGCAGGACTCGAAGTGGAGGGAATATACAGGAAAGGTTCCAGAACCAAGACCTGGATCAGTAAGTTTCATCTCTTGTCTGAACTCTGAGACATTTTATCAACCTTTTATAGGTAAAACACTTGGATTATGTTTTCCCCTACAGTGTATAACAGACGTACACAGGTCCCAGGGCATAAACTCCTCTCGAGACCTCCCAGATAGCGTGCTCACATTCGCCAGGAGGCATCCGCTGATGGCTAAGCAGGTTCACCCAGTAGACCTGCGGCCACTTATGTTCAAGAGGAGCGTCAACTACGTCAAGATCGTCGTGCACAAGGAGCCGGCGTTAGATGAAAACCTTTACACTGTCTTGTTTCTGGGAACAGGTGAAGTTCAGACAACTCCTAATAGTGACTGTTTATCATATTCATCATCTTAGTGTAATACTTGTGTGTCTTGTCTTGCAGATGATGGGTGGTTGCACAAAGCTGTGGAAGTCGGTGGACAGATGCATATCATAGAGGAGCTGCAAATATTTGCCAAACCACAGCCAATAGAGAGCATGGTGATATCTGCAGTACAGGTATTTACAGATTCAGTGCCTTGAGTCATCCCTCTTGTTTTTCTCTCAGGTTATCGACATTCATTTTGGCATTTAAAAGCAATTTTTGATCTGCAGTTGCATAAGGCGTTCTGAGGATCTTTATAAAGATGTTCTGACTGTGCATTGCACTGTTGTCGAAGGCACAACAGCTGTCAAGTCAAGCCAAAATTGAAGTAATTTAGTTCATTAACTGTTTTTTTTTTGGGATTGACAGAGAAGCATCTACATCAGTTCCTACTCTGGCGTGATCCAGGTACCAATGTCCACCTGTCCGAGATACACTTCCTGTTACGACTGCATATTTGCCAGAGACCCATTCTGCGGCTGGGATGGAAGAGTGTGTGTGGAAATATCGTCACGTTCACAGAGGTGAGGCAACAAGGACACAAAAGCACCTTCAAATGTGCAGCGTTTTTCATAAAGGTGCATACAGAAAACAAAGATCACACTCATGAAAAAAAAAGATTAGAAATCTACATCCTTTAGGTTCTACACACCATTTACATTTTAGTATTCGATATAAACTGAAAAAGCATCAATATATGGTTAAATCATATTCACTGAGCTTATTAACAGATTTAGAATTTTTACAGTGCTTTGGTCTGGATGTATGTCCTCCCTCTGTCCCCACAGCAATATCAAAGCATGATTAATCATTTATATATACAGCCTCTTCTCGTCCAAAGCAGTTTCTGTGAAAACAGGTCTAAGACACTGTGGCTGGCCTGGATTATGTTTTTTATCACTTCTGTGACACTAAGCAGGAGCTTCAGCAGAAAAAAAGTTTTTATAGTTTGGATGGATAATGAGCCTGAATGCAGTAGGCGGAGCATGTAATTAGGAATAATATATAATTAGTTTTAGAAATTCAAAACTTGAACAATAAGTAGTTAAAATCTGTTTGATGTTGTACATCACTTTTCTTTTTTTTTTTTTTACATTTATGTTTCAAAATAATATTTTCATGGGTTTAGGGAGCTTGTTGAAGGCAGACACGGCCATTTGTCACACTATGTTTATGAGGATCTCTGTAAGTGCAACCTCAGTTGTTTTGAAGTTAGTGTCACATAACAGTGCTTCAGCCACATATATCTGCCTTCCATCATCAATAGCCACTTATCCATGCAGAGTTGTGAGGGGTGAGTGCTATGAGGGGGCTGGTGCCCACCTCCGACACCCATTAGACGAAGACAAGCAAACATGCTGACACACAATTTAGAGCAGGGCAAATTGGAGGAACCAATTAACCCAACAGCCAAGTTTTTCGACTGTGAAAAGTATCCAGAGTATCCAGAGAGAACCCGTGCATGCAGAGGGAGAACATCTAAACCGCGGTTCCTCCGTGTAGCCAGCCATAAACCAACGGAATCACAAAGTGTAAAGCCATCCAAAACAAACACATACAGTGTGCTCAGTCCTCCATTTGGGACTGTCTCTCCTCATTCACTCTGCATCAGTGAGCAGCAGACATCTTAATCTCTATTAGTGCAGCAAACACTTCTGCCACTTCTCTGGATTTGTTGTACTCATGATGTCTGCTGGGGGAAAAATGCAACACAAAGAGAAGAATAATAATGAAACATATTACAAATCACAGTGTACACATCTGATATTTTAAACCTATCTTTTATAAAGTGTATGGAACAGCCTGTTCTTTGCTGTTGGAGAGCAGATATGGTGCTGGAAGAGATTTGCTCACCCACTATTCATTAAAGTAAATCGTCCAAGTGCGGAGGCTCCCTCTGCCAGTAGATTGCAGTGAGCTCAAGCAATGCAAAATGTTCTGCAGCATGAAAATACTTGCAAAATATGGCTGTTGGACTTTTGGTTTAGATAAGTCTGAATTTAAAGAAATCATCTGCTATTTAGGATCTTTGTTATAGATAAAAGTTTTAATAGTGATTGACTGGCAGCAGCGTATTTGTATGTTGCAAACTACCACTGCTTAAAAAAAAAAAACTTAGAGTTAATATGTTATTTGGAAACAATTTCCTAAACTGTGAGTTGCTTTTTTTTTTTTTTTACAAAAAAAAAGACATTCTTATTTTCCTCTGGTACAATATGTTTAGCTAGCTACTCGTTACAGCAGAATGCTATAAAACTGGTGTATTCTTGTTATTTATAAAGAACAGTGTGCATCAAACTGCTCTCATAAAACATTTCTCCTCCCAGGAAGGTTCTTAAATTTTATCAAGTCCCAAGCACAAACTTCTAAATATTTCTCTTGGAATTGTATTTCATGGACCAACTTAAAGTAGTGAATAAGTGTAAATGGGAAATACTGTCTTTAACTTCCTATCGTTTCTTATTTCTTCCTAGTAAGATATCTGGGAACAATTCTTAAAATCTAATTTCTTAAAGTCCATTGCATTCTAATATAGCTAAATGCATATTTTTCTAAAACCTTTCCTTTTTAGGTTAAACTTAACGCAGGACATCTCTAGAGGAACCAGAGGCTGTAAAGAGAATCCAGGAAATGGTATGTCTTACAACACACACACACACACACGCACACACACACACACACCTTTGCAATTATTATAAATCCATTATTCAACAGCCCTGACTCCTTTAAGTTTTAAAAAGTTCAATACTTAATTTGCCTCCCGCCCTTCTTTGATGAGTTTTCCTAATTTTTTTCACACTCAGATTAAAGGGTTAAACGAGTCCTTCTTATTCTGCCTGAAAAAGCCCAAGCTGTTGGCATTTGTGGAGGGATTTCATTAGGTGCACGTTCCTCACCCATCCCCCAGGTCCCAGCATACACATTTTAATCAGCTCCTCTCTTGCTGGAGGTCAGGCGGTCCTGCTGCTGCACTGCGGGGCTCGCTACATTTAAAGAAGCATGTGAGATGTGATAAAAAGTGATGCCTTAACTCCACTTGCGCTTTTAAAGCATACAACCTCTGTGACCTGACATCTTGTTCGATGTTCGTCTCCGTCGCATTCTTCATCCGTTGCTGTCCTTTTCTGTTACTCAGTGATCCATCGGAGACGGGCTGTGATGTCGGGGGACGATGTGTTGCTCCAGTGTGAGCTTCACTCCAACCTGGCAACTCCACGCTGGACGCTAAATGGCAAGGAGCTCCAGGGATACGGGTTGAACACGGGCTACCGCATTGGGACGGACGGGCTCCTTATAATAGGGGCTCGCACGCAGCAAGGTGGCTCATATCGCTGCTTTGCAGTGGAGAACGGAGTCTCAGTGCTGGTTTATCTTTACACAGTGAAGGTTCACACAGATCCATACTTCCCAGTGGAGCCCACAGACTCCACAGAACCCACTACTGTCTCCAGCCCAGTGGTTTTCTCCACCGCCAGTCCCACTGAGCAGCCTCTGCCCTCACCACCAGCACCGCTGCCGCCTGGACCCAGATTCCACGCCTACATACACATGGAGGCCATCTACATATCTTTGGTGGCGGTTCTAGGAGGGCTTTGCTTAGTGTTAACTGTGGTGCTACTTTACGTAAGCTTCTGCACCAGACGGGCAAGTCGGAGTAGGAAGTTCTCCCATCAGAACCTCCATGTTCTTGGGGCCTCGGATAGAAAGAGGAGCTCCCACCTGGAGCTCAAAACCATCTCCAGCCACTGCAACGGACGCCATAGTCGGCGCTCCATCTCGGTGCCGACCTTCGGGGACTTTAACGACAGCTTCCTGCAGATAATTCCCGGCGACGACCAGATGTCTCCGGCCAAAACGCCGCCGCCAGCTCCCCCTCTTCCCAATCCGCCTCCGCTTCCGAACATGGACTACGCCAATGGGCTGTCGGCCACGCTGCCCAGTGTGCTGAGGAAGATGAATGGAAATAGCTACGTGCTGCTGAGGCAGGCCGACCCCGAGGGCATGTCACCGCTCTATCACTCATTCACGGAGGAGCTCAACCGGATCCTGGAGCAGAGGAAACACACACAGCTGGACATGCATCCCGATGAGAGCTCCATCTAGGACGCTTCGGTCAACATTTTTGTCCAACTTACTTATTTTCAACCCAACCGAGATGTTCGGTTGTGGGAAAAGCTGAAATTTTGCCATTGCTCTGCAAGATGTAGGACTTGTCGCAGCTTGATTCAAAACATGAAAGTTCCTGCATCTGGAGAGAGTCCATGAATTCTCTTTATGATGGACCAAAAGAACCAGAGTGACTGAAACAAGCTTAGCAGCTGTGAAGAATTTGCACTAAAATAAAGCAAATGGGAGAGGGACGATGTCACCTCATTAAACTCTGTGGAGGTTTAGGGATGATGGGAGTTGCATTGCAATGAATCACTGGATTTTTTTTTTTTAAACAATTGAGATTTTTGAGATGTTTAAACATTGTGTATCATTTATTCTGAGTAGCACAAAGGGATACTCTTCTCCATATGGATGTGTAGAAAAATAATGTTTTTTTGCTAGCATTAATAAGTTTGAATCCTGAGAACTGAGACCTTTGTACACTATGTTTTTTTTTTCTGTCTCTACTGCCTGGACAGCAGGAAGTGAGGTTTTTCATAAAAGTAGAGGTTTCAATTTTTCTGATTTGAGATAACTATTTATTTTTGGCTGAAATGGTGAAAGTTTTTGAAACTCATTTGTTACAGTACAACCACAAACTATTACAAATATTTTTGTTATTTACCAATTGTGAATCAGAAGGAAAGTAACAGGTTGTAGAAATACAATCTGAGAAGTGTGCTGTACATTGATATTCAGCTCTTATGAGTCAATGCTACCTTTCATATAGCTGCAGTTGCAAGTCTTCAGAGGTTTGCCTCTACCAGCTTTGCATATCTAGAGACTGAAACTATTGACTGTTCTTCTTTCCTGCTGAAAAGTGAACCTTTGCCTCTGTCTCAAGTGTTTTGCAGCCTTTAACATGTTTTCTTCTCTTGCCCTGTGTTTAGTTCCATCCAATCTTCCCATTTAAAGTCTTACTCCCTGATAAATAAAAGCATTCCTACAGTATGATGCTGCCACCACAATAAATCAGGCCAAAAACATCAGTTTTGCCTGAGCTTTGATGCAAGAGCACTGGATTCTAGCAATGTCAGAGTAAAGACACTCATAGACCATCCTTAGAGAGAGTCTCGTTTCCTGCTACAAAAAAATCCCTCTTTGTTTCTTAAAACCTATATTTTGTTCAGATATTATCACTAATATGTTTTTTTTCAGACTTTAGAACATTTTATTGAGCTGCAATAATTCACAACCACCAAAAAAGTGTTTGAAGCAAAAACTGTACATGCTTTCTTAAAACCACCGTTATTTTTGAAATGTGCAATCAAATTCAAATTACAGGTGGAAAACATGAAAGCTTCTGTGGAGAGCTAAAAGTTTAAGTGATTGTCTTCCAGAATATTTCCTGCTGTAGATGTCAGTTCTCACTATTTCTTAGTTATTGTCAGGAAGTCTTGAACCTCTGTTTTCCCACTCTGAACGGAAAGGAAACTTGGAGTCAAAGACGAATCTGTGACACAACCACAATAGATTGTAAATTTTTTGTGAAATTAGCATTTTGCTTGTAGTATCACTTGAGAAATTTTGTATGAAACATATATTTCTGTGTGTTCATTTCAAACACTATTTTGTTTTTTCTCTTGTTTAAATACTTGCTTCCTTTCATGGGCTCAGTATATTGTGTCTGTAAAAACAGCTGCTGCTGGGCTATTGCTTGTTTCTGCTTTCCGCCATTTATGTGGGGGGGAGGGGGGGGACTGCATTTAAGGAAATGTGTCGTGTGTGAAAGGAGGAGTCAGTATTCAGCTGGATTAACTGATTTATCTAAATGCTGCAGACGGACTTTGTGGCTTTTAAAAAGCACAGCGCACTCTGAAGAAAAATTGATAAAACACTGTCAATACGTTTCTTATTCATGGCTATGACTCTTCCCACATTTAAACTGCAGGCAACTTTTGCTTCCATTTCTCTGCACACTTACATACCAGCATTCATAAATAGAGAAAGTAATAGTCACAGGGCAGCAATTACATATTTACACAAGGAGCATCATCAGCTGAGAAACATTTTTACATGTCAATATTGATAATTTATATTTCATTGTAATTTAGTCACTTTTTTTTGCCTTGTTCTATTTATCGCTATTGTAATCATTTCTACGATTATCCCGACCCCTTTGATTTTTGCCCTCCATATCTCTGCCATCTTTTCCTGTTAGTTCAATGTAATATCACAGAAGAAAAAACACTGTTTCGGAATTAAAGAATGTCTGTTTTATCCTGAAATCAGTACAAATAAAGTATTAGCACATAAGTTTGTCCTCTGCAGTAAAAAGAGAGAGGAGAAAAAGCTGCAGGTGGCGAATTTTAGACCGGACATGCAGTGTGATGCCAAAAAAACAACCAAAAGTTGCAGAGCTCATAGTATTTCCGTGGCAAGGTGAGCATCCCTGTGATTAAATAGAGACTGTATAATATACGATGACTGAAATGAATCTGTGAGCAGTTTGTAAACACGTCACGGTCGTTCGTGAACAAATGTCTGTCTTCCCAGAAAGGTGTCGAGTCAGCTCTTGTAGCTCAGCAGCAGCAGGCCTCTCTCGTGGCTTGCAGTGCATAAGTCAGAGCAGCGCAGCCTGGCTCACCTTCACAAAGAGAGGGCAGGAGCATTTAGGCTTCCTGTGTTCCTGCCATCTCTGCAGGCTGATGCAGCCTTTTAGGGTACAAGACCACTTGGTCTTTGTGCACAGATTTTATTTCCTTTGCTTGTCAATTAAAGCCTCTCTCAGTTGCTTTGTACAACATGGAGCATTTCTTAACGTTATCTATAAAATCTGAGTTAATCTGTTGAACAATTCTTTAGAGTGATCTAAATATAGCAAAACTGTATAATTTGAGTGCTAAAGATTTCTATCTCACTAATTGATGGTCCGCTGTACAAACATGTTCTTCATGTCCCTTTAAAGTTTGAGCACATAAAATTCAGAGAAATATGCTATCATTGAACTGCATTGATTGTAGACATTAGTTTGGACTGCGTGCAGTTATGCTATGGTTGATTTGCCACAGAAATCAGATCTGGAAATGAGGCCTCAACCCAGTTTGGCTTGAACCAGCTGCAACTCAGGAAACTATTTGGGACAGCTACTTGTCGAATAGCTAATTACTATAACCAATACAAACCAACGACAACATATTATTTTTCCTTTTGTGGAAATATTTAAAGAACATGGTCAGATGTGAGGATTGCAAAATACAATTTGTACCACTGACTTGATGAGATGTAAGCCACCGCAGGTACAAATTAAGGGTTTCATCCTGGTTTTCAAAGTACATTTTTTGTTTTTCATAGCCAACCCTAAATTCATTTCAGATTTTGACTTTCCACAAAAGCATTTTATTGATCCAAGTTAAAACTTAGACAACCTGGCCATCAAAAAATACCACTGTTCAAACAACTTCTAACTGATTCACATTATGCATAGTCTCATGAATCAAACATACTGGGAATGTCATCATATCAGTATTGCGTGCGTTTGATTTGCAAATTGGAAAACCAGTGGACTTATTTTTAATTATTTATTTTCGGTTCAGACACCGTACATTGCTTGTTATTGGTTTATCAAGATGCAAACAGCTGTTGCACATGTGGGACTAGTGAGAGTAGGAAGTATAAACTATTTTGTTGTTTTTATTTCTGATGGTTTGCATCCGATTAAACCAACAGCACACACAGCACTGTAAAAAGTCCATTTGTAAACAAGTTTCCTTCTGATTTGAATCGCTAAGTACTGAGGCGCTAAGTGTGCTTCAGTGTTCTTAACACCTCAGCATTTAGCAAATCCTGCTGGTTTTTTTTTTACTGAGATCATAAAATGCGCTCAAGTCAACTGACATCTGATTCCCACATAAATTCAAACAGTATTTCACTAATCAACTTTTTTTTTCTTTGCCCTTAGGATTCTTTTGATTTTGCAGAAAAAAAACCTTTTCCAGAGCAGATGTATTTCATGCTTAAATCCTTGTTTTCTGTCAAGTTGCTTCTTTTTTAAAAAAAAAAAAAAACTTGTACTCTTATTAAATCTCTGCTGCCTCCACAATTTTCTCTTTCCATTACTGCTACATTAAACTTTTATCCATTAGCCCCTCCATTCGCTCTCTCAAGAACCCTGTTGAGTTTATGAATGATTGCTAACCAAATTGAGCCAGATTTCCAATTACAGTTATGTTTGTGTTTTTGCAGATGCAGGAAAGAGGTAACGAGTTTCTACGTTGATGCTCAGCACATAATTAAGGATATTTTTATAATCTATAATGCTATATATTTATAGGGTGCAGTTTTATTTAAATCAAAGTTGTAAAAAGTAAAAAGTTGTATTTTGTAGCACATGTGAAGTGATACAACGCTGCTTCCTCTGGTGTTAGATAAACAGTAAATTATTATGCTCAGTTTTTCTAATGAACAACTCCTGCATGTCCATTCTGAATCTTAAGCCTCTGCTGCTTCGTTTTGTTTATTTGAAGTTTGAGTGAAGAAGTCAACATGTGCATGTTTTGGTCACTGGAATTTCTGTTTAAAGAGCAAAATATTAAATTGAAATACACGGAGGTTTTCATTAACATTTGCATTTAATGGAATATTTTGTCATTTCAAATGAAAACTAAACGCCTACAGTTTGTTGTTTATTTATTTGTCATTGGTTTCTCACCAGGACATTCAGTTACTAAAATATACACATAGCACTGTGTGGAAAACTACAATGCAAACTTATATCTTTGGCTTAAGTCACTGTCATTTATTTATACTTTGTGATATATGTGTGACAATGTTGCTTGATTTATGTAATGGTTTCCATGATCTGTGCTGTTTATTAATGTATATATTAAAAAATGATGTGAAATCTCCTGTAAACAGTGACCCGTTCCATCCATTTTTCTTCTATTTGACATAAATCTGTATTTCCTTTCAGTCTAAACTTATGTCCACTTATTGTAAAATAGTAAACTACCCTAATGTGTTGACACACACACACACACACACACACACACACACACACACACACATATATATATATATATATTATTTCACCTCATTAAATAGCCGCTGTTTTTTTTCTGAGAATAATAAAAACAACAACAATAACTTGAGTTATGTTTAGCTTGGAGGAAAAAAAACAGGAAATGAGTGTCAACAGCCTGAAGGGGGAAATCATGAAATTACATGTAAGACATGTTCAAACTGAATCTTACTCTCAAGACGGCTTGTTTGTTTTCAGCTCGTGGCAAGAGGAGAGGCCAGTGTTTTCCGGTGGGACAATGAGTCCCAAAGTCATTTACATTTCTGCATGAATATGTCAGGGCAGAGGTAAAACAAAAGCCCAGAGAAGAAGAAGAAAAAGGGACGGGGCGGGGGGTTAAATTATCATTTTTCACAGCAGTAGCTTAGCAACAGCAACTTTATTTAGAGCCTTTAATGTCCTTGCTTTGGGTCAAGCTGTGCCAGCTCGCCTCAGGGAGAGCAGCGGATGTGATGTCTTTAATTGGTGCAACAGTTAGATTAAAGGGAAGGAGGTGAGAATGAATCAGAAGAATTTTCACCTTTTCAATTCCCAACTCTCTTCTATTCTTAAAGAGCTAAAACAGCTGAGAGCATTTGCTCTCTTTATTTTGTAATGTTTTCTTCTGGGTGAACAGCTCTGATTTTCACTTACATGCGATCGTGATGATATAATATGCAGATCTGAGGGAGAAAGTGAATCTGCATCCAGGGACAGAGTTCAGGTCCAATCACTTCAGGTCCCATTAAATTTGTATGACATTTTTATTTTAATTGCGAAATTAACATTTTAGCGATGTTGTGATTGTTTGAGATGCACCTGTATATAATATCTAATGACTGTTATGCAGACTCCAAGTTGATACACCTTTCTGCAGTTTTATTCTCCTCATTCTAGATACCAACATGGCTTCTCATCCAGGCTAATGAGCAGCAGCTGACAAAAGAAAAATCTTTTCAAAAATCATGGGAACTGTTGCAACGTCAAAAAATACAAGAAAAAATGCCTGCTCTAAAGTTAATACAAAGACACAAGGGTGGTTTAAAACCGTTGCAGGTTTTGAACATTTTCAATAAAATGTTAAATTGGTGTGACTCACTCCTGAAATGGCTCAGATCGTTCCAAGAACATCCGCTTATTTATATTCCTGTGGCAACGATCAACTTCTAATTGTCTGCTTACTAGTAAAGAACATCACTGAGGTCATCGCCCGATTTTCCTGTCAGAAATGATGAATTAGGGGTTGGGACTTGCAAAAACAAGCTGGCTCGGTAGCCTGTATATACGGCTCGTCAGGTTTGAATGAAAGAAAAAAAAACTCATGCTACAGCAGTAAGTATCTGGTTCCTGTTAAAGGTCATTATACAGAGGACAGTCAGATCTGATGATAAGACTGTTTCCTCCCCAGCTGTCACACAGCCATCTGTCATCTTCATCAAGCTTTGGGGCATTTAATGTGCAAAAGGAACACCTTCAAATCTTATTAAATAGCTAAATCATTCCATGTGATGTACCTTCATGCAACATTCATCTTTAACTTTTAGTAAAGTTAGAACTGGAATTTATTGATAAAATTTTATTGGGATTCTATGCAACAGACGATGTATAAAAAAGATGTGTCTACAGATGTGCAAAGTTTGTATAAATTCCACTGAAGGCCTGCCGCTGATTTCTAAAAATACATGGTGAAAACCATGTATCTTCAGCCTTCCAATTCATAACGATGGACCACTTTTGTATTAGTCTATTACATAAAGTTCACATAACACACATTGGAAATATTTTTGTACAATGTGACAAAATATTTAAAGGCTATGAAAAATATGCCATGGCACCATATATGTTCACAAAGCTATTAAGCCCCATTAGAATTTTGTTCTGTTCTGCTCATTTTGAGAAAAAGCTGCTCAGTCCATGAAATATGAAATACTACTAGATCGTTTATTTTGATTGCCTTTTATTTCAATACAATGCATTATATATACATTTTGTTTTATAAAAAACATTAACATTAAACGTGCTAGCTTCAAATGTATCTTGCTCCTAACAAAATGGATGGCGGACATAATGACAGCACTTGTCAGAACTGGGTTTTCTCTGCAGGACCCTCAGGATATAACCTGAAGACAAGCCTCATTAGTTTCTGGAAACTGTCCAAACAATAACATTAGGAAGTCTTTATTCTCCGTGTTGGTTCTGAGGTCTGATGAGGCCGACAGATGGGGGGCGGTGCGTGAACGGGTGCCACTGGCCCTGGATGCTGGGACTGTCAGTGTGAAACGGTTTGCGGATGCGGATGATGTCCTGGCCAGATTGGTTGGTCAGTTTGGTGAGAACCTCTAAGACCTGCTGCGACGTTTTGTTGGTGAGCAGTTCCTCCTTTGTGTTACCATTTACTGCAAGATGGGAGAATAAATGTGTCATGTGGTGAGAGACTGAATGTGAACAAGACAAACATGTAAGTGTGACAGAAACTATGTCATGATCATGATCTATGTCTTGTTCCTGAGAAGGAATCTTAGAAAAGGAGTAACATACTGCCCCCTACAGTATATTACGGGTGTTACATCACAGTTCACGCTTTTGCACAATTAATTTATTACACGCGGATGTGGCATTTGCATTTTGCTTTATGGCTGATTTTTCTATTTATTTTGTTCTGGCTTCTGCTATGTCATTCGGTACTTTATCTTAATGTGCAAAATTTACATGGAAGTTACTCTTTGTTGCACATCTATGAAAGAACGGAAAAAGCCTGAACTTGTCATGGGAATGCAACGTCGCAGTCTGTCTGAAATCACAAACAGATCAATTTTGCAATGAAACCAAGATCTTATTTAAAATAAAAACATGGAACAAACTCCTTCATTGGCTTAAAATCTAGTCAAATCATTTTTAAAAGCTTTCCAAATTACCTGGCAATCAAGCAATTTATGAGAGCATGTAAACTTTTGAAGAGACCTGCTTGGTAAGAGAGTCTGACCGCATGATGTTTACACAGAGAGCAAGACTCTGTACTTTAGGAGATGTATCAGCAACATTTTACTCAACTTAACTCAAGTGTTGGTATGTAAAACTGAGACTGAAATTATACTTTTTTGAAATATGTTATCTAAACATCAATAGCCCCTTGTGTAAAAATTTGCAATGCTGTCAAGAGGACACAATACTTTGCCCTTATTATTTTTTGTGATGATCTTAGGAACAAGCACATTTTTACCAATTATTTATCACATAACTACACTAACAATAAAATAAAACCATCACGAGAAGACCACTTCAATATTTAGTCAATATTATGGGTACTTACAGTACTCTGCAACTACTTTAGGGATACTACAGGGCTGAGGAGAAATATAAACAACAGTCCCAGGGTTCTTCTTGGCATAATCCACCACTCCCTCCTCAATGAAATCCCTACAGGAGAAGATGAACGAGTTTGCAGACAGTTCTACAAATAATCCATGTCTTAAGAAATAAAGTAAAGCATGCAACATTTCAGTAGATATTTGACTATGTTTCTTAATGAAAAGGGTCACTGGCTTTGACAGATCCAGCTGGAGCTTTTAGTACATTGTCATATAAACAAACTTCTGCATTTACAGTGGATTAAATTACGCACAGGCGGAATGGACTTACTAAATAGGGGCTTTCTGAAGCCACTCTTCACGTAAAATTCTAATAAATCATTAAAGTCTGTGGTTGTACAGAGACAAAGTGTAAATGTGCAAAGGTGTACAATACCAATATAATCTCTATATCTTCAATATACATTACCTGACTCCCAGTGCGCTCGCAGACTTCTTGGAGAAGATGATGGAGATCCGTTTCAGCTGACACACGTATCGGCCCACACCGTTCTGAAGAACGCTCTTCAGGAAGCGGCTGGGCGTCCCTCTGGATGTCATCCTTTGACCTTCAACTTTATCTTCACCTCAGAAAAGACGAACCACTGCTAACACGTAGTAATTTATACAACTGCGAATCCTAACCCTCGCAGAGGACAACCTCTCGGCTAGGAGCACAAGGCAGTCCGTCACTTGAAAGGTCCGATATGAAACACACACGGAACTCAAGTTTCATAGCTTCCTCGCGCGGTTGCTACAATTTGGAGAGCCGTCTGCCATGTTGTGTGTGGCAGGTTCTCGGGTTCTGCTTGGAAACCAACGCAAGCTTTTTCGAGTTGATAGTTCCTTTTCCTGTTTTAAAATAATATTACCACGGGAATGCAGACTTACTGCCAGGAGGGATTCCTCTGTGTTCCTTCTGGAGCTCCGTAGTTCAATTTAACTCGATTCAGTTCATTTATAATAACTTCAATAACTCTAATAACAATTATTCAAAGTAGTTTAAGTAGTTTACAAGAAGACCCGGCAGATTTCATCGAGTCAATAGCTCGCAGTATCTAGAATGCTGGATCCTTTCTGGACCGCATCTCCATTTACGGCACAATCCCCCAGTTCGACCAAAACTTTTTCTTCCTTTACATGTTTTGCAACAACAAAATGCCACTCACAATATGGCAACAACATTGACGTAAGGACCCGAACGCACTAGAGCTGTTTTTTCTGTGATTTCGAAGTGTGTTTTAGACGGACGTGTTTTGAGAGCGGACCACTAAAACCCGGGCTGCATGGAGCATGGGGCAAGACGAGGTCAGACGTTCAGCAGGTAAAATGTCTGCATGAAGATCGTGTTTTTTATTAACGTAACGCTCTTTTTAGCTGATTTTATAAGGTGCTTCATTTTCTACCTCCAATCTGTAAATTATGTTAGCTCGAGTGAAAAAGAAGACTCTCTGCGTTTGTATATTTCTGTATCATTTCATAAAGTTGGTTGTGTAGCTTTTATGCATCTAACCATTGCGTTTTCTTCGTTGTGTGTTTTTGTAGGTTAAATGAGCTAAGCAGATAGCCAATGTGGAGAGGCCTGCTGCTGAAGGGCACCACCTGTCTCCTGCAGGTGTCGGCCCAAAGCTTCCTCCATCACAGACCCGCTTCCTCCCAGTGTTGCAGACTTCTCACCCATAGGTTCCTCCCCACACTTCGAGAGACATCATGCATCCCGAGGCTTAGAAGTACATACTTCTTCCAATCCCACAACCTCACCAGGAATTATAAAAAGGATGCCAAGTCCACTGTAGAGTTCCCTCTAAGTCCCATCACGGTTACAGACATCAAGCAGTACTTGCGCACCAAAGACATTCCCTTCCACGATGGCTACAGCTGCCTCCACATCCCAAGCATCTTCATGGATGTGTTCACGAGGAAGGACAGCTTCTCCCTGTTCATTGACAAAACCACGGGACAGTTTTTGTGCAAGGACTCGCTGGTGGAGGGAAGCTGGGAGGACCTCCAGGACTGTCTGGAGGTGATGCAGAAGGACGAGCAGGACTCCCTCAGCCCTCATGTGCTGCTGGGGTATCCGGAGAGCCTGGAGGAGCAGGAGGAGAGGGAGAGAGAGCAGAGGGAAGTGCGGGAAATCTGGTCCAGTTCGTTGCCTTTCACAGATCTCCACGACGAGGAAGCTCAGCTGGTTAAAACCATGTTCCAGGTAGGATTAAGAAGAACTTCAACTTGTGTTCATGTGCATCGCATCTTCACGCTGTTCTCTGAAATGCTACAACTAAATCTGCATGCTGCAAGATTCTTAAAAAGTTGTTCCAAAATGTCTAAAAAACATATTCCTGTTTATAGTCACACACTGCGTATAGTCAAACATTAAAGCTATGAATTATGTTGATATTGGATTTACGCAGGGCTTTATTTGGACAGCAGATAGGATTTTTAGAAATTATTATTATTATTATTTGCCAAGCTTCAACAAGTTTATTTGCAGAAAAGTAAAATTGTCAGGTGTCATTTATTTAGCAGCAAGATGACTTCTTAAGAAAGTCGTTTTCCTTTGACTTAATTTAGGGGTATCATTGTGCTGGGGCTCATTACAAGTGTACACCACACCTTGCTGATTGGTGTTTGTAGAAGACTCAGAAAAACCATTAATTGTTTCCATTCCATTTCACAAATATGCACTTGGTCTATCACATCAAAATCCAGTAAAATGCCTGAAGTTTCTGGGTCTAATATGATAAATGAGAAAAGTATGAATATAAGTATGAAACGCCATTGTTGGTGTATTTAAACAGATTGTTGCAGGGTGTCAACAATCTGTCCACCCGATTAAAGTGTGAGTTACAATAAAAAAGAAAATCTGCACTATAGCAACACTATAAAGTTAATAATCTGTTGCGTAATGCAGACCTTTATTAACTGTTTTCTGTACTGATTGTAAAAGGGCTTGTTCTGATTTACAATGTGTTTGAATTAATAAAAGGATGACTACCTCACAAGCTTTTTACTGTTTTACTTTTTCAGATCACAAAGATCTCCAATGCAACCTTGAAAAAGTTTGGAGTGAGGCTCTTTAAGCCCACCAAGAGTCTGGTTTTCCCCTGGTTTGGTGGTCCCGATTCCTCCTTGAAGGGGATCAAACTCGTCTCGGCGCGGAGGACAGACGATGAGAAAGTCACCTATAATGAAGCCACAGTTCCCAAGTGCAGCTCCTACTTTAACTTGTTCGGCCTCGCTCTAGTGAGCCGTATGGACTCGGAGGTGGTGGTGACAGGGTCCGAGTTGGACACCTTGGCCGTTAGCCAAGGCACAGGGCTCCCCAGCGTGGCTCTGCCCCGTGGGGTCAGTTGCCTTCCACCGGCCCTGTTGCCCTACCTGGAGCAGTTCAAGAGGGTGACCCTGTGGCTGGGGGGCGACATTCGCTCCTGGGAGGCATCAAAGATCTTTTCGCGTAAGCTGGGCCTGCGGCGGTGCAGCCTGGTGCGACCGGGGGAGTTCCAGCCCTGTCCACTGGAGGCGCTCTCCCAAGGAAAAAACTTGTCCCGCATTGTCAAAGCCTCCATCCCAGCGGCGCACAAGTCCATTGTCTCTTTCAAGCAGCTCAGAGAGGATGTCTACGGAGAGCTGATGAACACAGATCAGGTGGCTGGAGTTAAGTGGGCCAGATTTCCAGAGCTCAACCGGATCTTAAAGGGACACAGAAAGGGAGAGCTCACAGTTTTCACAGGTACTAATCTGTCATGCTTCCATGATTAAATGTATGGTGCTGGTTCATCTGTGTTTACCATGTAATATGACATATGTCTACTTATTTTATTTAAAGCTGCTGCATAAATAGTGGATAAAAATGGAAGTCTTTACAAACTGACCCAAACTGGAATCAGGGCCAGAATAAAAGGAAAGACAATGTAGTAAAACATTCTTGAAGGAATTGTATATATTTAAATGTAATTATGTTACAGATCTGTGCATTTTTTCTTAAAGAAAACCAAACTTCTACTTTATTATGTGTGCATAAAATGCTTCGTTTAAAGGTGTGAAATAGAAGTAGGAAACGGTGAAATGGGGTTATGAACTAATGAAGTTCAAACTGTAATGAATATTGGATCATGACTGTTTTACAGAAAAGGTGATCCAGTTTTCTATCAATGTGTTTCCTATTTAGGGCCAACTGGAAGCGGGAAGACCACCTTCATCAGCGAGTTCGCCCTGGACCTCTGCATGCAGGGTGTCAACACTCTGTGGGGCAGCTTTGAGATAAACAACGTGCGTCTAGCTAAGGTCATGCTGACGCAGTTCGCCATGCAGAGGCTGGAGGAGAACTTGGAGCAGTACGACTTCTGGGCTGACAGATTTGAGGAGCTGCCGCTTTACTTTATGACGTTCCACGGACAGCAAAACATCAAGTGGGTTTGATCAGGGCTGTCAGTTTTTACCCATCTTTACCTTCTCTTTGCATTTATTTACAATTTGCTGATGTGACCACCATTTTTAATTAGAAACTCTTCTGTGAACTTGTTTTCAGGGCAGTACTGGACACCATGCATCACGCCGTCTACCTCTATGATATCAACCATGTCATCATTGATAACCTGCAGTTCATGATGGGTCAAGAAAACCTCTCAGTAGATAAGTGAGTAGAAACAAAGACTTTTTTATTCAGTGTCAGGCAGAGCTCAATGTTCTGGAATGTAAGCAGGCAAATGTACAAAAACTGTAAATTTATGAACACTTGTATATTCATCGGGAACCGTTTTACTGAAACAGACAAAACCTCAATATTTCAGCTAATAGTCACATCAGTAAGGTAGCTGAAAGTCTTACTGATGGTAGACAAACACTTACCTGAGCCGGTAGACCATTGGGCAAGTACCCCCACCACCCTGCTTGGCAGGTGTTAACAATGTTCTTTGAACACATATTCCTTACAAAGTAGATTTGAAAATAGCTGTCAAGTTATGCTCTAATCATTAACACATTTGAATTAAAATGTGGAAATGAATTTATGATCCAGATTTGCCGTCCAGGACCACATCATCGGGATGTTCAGGAAGTTTGCCACCAACAGCAGCTGCCATGTCACTCTGATCATTCACCCCAGGAAAGAGGAGGACGACAAGGAACTGCAGACTGCATCCATTTTTGGTTCTGCTAAGGTATTTCATTTCTATTTTTGGTCCAATCTCTCCCATAAAAGGCCTACTGGGCGTTCTACAGTTCTTAAGTTCTTGAGATGAATAAGGCAGAATTATTTATTTCTACATCCCAAATTAAATTCACTCATGTCTTAGCATTTCCTCAACTAGTTTCATGAAATAAAACTTTCAAGATGTGTCAGAGAAGAAATTTACGAGGGTACAAAAAATTTTTTTTAATATGCTATTGGACTAATTTTGTTAAAAGTGCTGTAAATTTAATTTATTGAAACGTGCAGAAACCATGGTTTACCCAGTGAATTGAAATAACAAGTAGAGAAGAACATATACTTGTTAAAAAGAAAAGACGTGTCTAGTGCACACTTCCTGACCTTTAACCTTTCTCCAGGCAAGCCAAGAGGCCGACAACGTCCTCATTCTGCAGGAGAAGAAGCTGGTGACTTGTCCCGGCCGCAGATCCCTGCAGGTCACCAAAAACCGGTTCGATGGAGACGTGGGCATCTTCCCCCTGGACTTCATCAAGTCTTCGCTCACCTTTTCAACACCCATCAAGGGCAAGCACAAGCTGAGGAAGGTCGCCGCCAAGCCGGAAAACGAGGAGGAGGTGCAGAGGAACGAGGTAACTGCAAAGAAGGATGAAGGGAAGAAGGAAAAAGCGATGAAAACTGCAAAGGCAGCACAAACGGTTAAACGCCCTGCTAATGGAAACGAGAAAGTGAAGTAGTGATGCAAAACAGTGTTGAGAGAATGAAGTGAGCTCCAGATTGTTAGCCCTCAAAACTTGATGAAGCTAAAAATAGCTACAGCACTGTGCAAAAGTTTTGACTCATCCCGTAATATTTTATATACCGCTTGTAATGGAGCTAAAACATGATCTGATTCCCTGATCTGTCCTACAAGTTCTCTACAGTCTAAACTCTACAAAAGATGTACAATCTCACTTTTTCTGGTTTAATAAGATGCAAACTGTCAGAAGTGCAAATAAGCATGTTTTTCTATGTATATCATACATATGTTATTTAAACACCCGCACCACACAGTTACATCTTAATCAGTTAGAATTTAATTGAAAAGTTAATTTAGTTTAGTAATCTGACTCAAAAGGAGAAACGCTCATATAGATTTATCACAGTGACACATTTAAGTTTGATGATTATGGCACATGTCTGACGCACCTAAAATCGAGGCTCTCACAAAGTCTCATCACCACGTTTAACAGAAATAAATCTTATTTAGGTCACTCTTGTATAATGAATTTATATATGAGTTTCACTGTTGGTTGTAAAGTTTGGTTGTCAGACTTCTGGGACTCATTTAAATCCAGTTTCCAGTCTTGGATTCCTGAAACTCCACCTATTGAGGACAATTCAAAGTCGTTATTGTTTTCAGGCCATTGGAGGGATTTTTTTTTCTTTCTCTTACTACACTTCTTGCAAGTTTTCACTGCAAATGTGTAGTAGACATATTACCTGCGTGTTTGGATGCTGCTGTAAGACTTGGAATGGCCCTGAAAATGTGTGACACTCTTTATTTTAACTGGAGGATCACGTTACGAGTGATCAGCTACTTAACATTATCATTCTCTAAATTTACAGGAGATAATGCACCAGTGTCATACCTATCTAGTCAGTCATAAGTTCAAGGAATGATGTTAGTCAAAATTTGACTTTTGTTGCAGTGTCTCAAGCTTTTCATTCATGTATTTAATTTACTGTGAAACTAAGGTCCACTGTATTTTGTTTGCCACTGTCAATGTTTCCATTACCATAATGTGTTCTCACTCTACTGATCTTTTGTCATACACTTTGTATCATGATTTTTAATAAAGCAGTTTTCTACATAAAATCTCATTGTTGATGTGCTTTTAACCAGGGTCAGCAGGGGGCAGTGTGGCATAAGAAAAAAAAAACAATAAATAGACTCCTTGTGCCTAAACGTAGCAGCAGCAATAGTTTTCAAAAAAGAGGAATTTCCCCAAAGGTGCTTCATAGAGAAATACAGCATGAAAAAGCACAAATCTGGATATTAATTAGATTCTGCTTCCACTACTTACCCTCAAGCGTTGGCAACATTGACAAAGTCACAGATTATGCATGCGTAAAGATACACATCTACAGGGTTAAGCACACCACCCTGTCACTGTGTTGCACTAAACCCCTCCTGCATCATGTTACACAATCTATTATTTAGGATGACTTTTAAAAATCGTCTTCACATGAATATTTAATTGGTACAATTAACGGATGTACCTTGACTCAGCTGGTTTTGCTTTTGCTGTAGGTGGAATTGATTAGGTCTCATCACACTCGTGTCAAATCAAATGCATTCCACACTAATGATGTGAATCCAAAAAAAAAAAAAAAATATTGCATGTTGTGTATCAAGGTTTTTAATTATTTATAATCTTGGCATCTGTGATGAATATGGAATATGTTAATCCTGCAGGAATTTGATTAAGAAACTCAAACTCCTGCAATAGTATGAAATGTGATCAAAACCACCTCAACTGATTATTTTCCAGCTTTTTTTTAAACTTCCTTCAGGATCCTGTAACCCAAACTGCAACTCAACAACTGGAAGAGTACAATTGTGCTTTTATTCTGCTTTCATTTCACCCAATTATGTTCTTCAGTCTCACCCTTTACATGTCCTTCATCACTTCGTCCTTCAACCTTCTCTGTGATTTTCCTCATTCCCTTCAACCTGGAAGCTGTTTATTCAACATCCTCTTATGTATCATGTGCAGTTCTTTGCAAGAAATTACGCATCTTGAACGTTAATATTTTTGTTAAAATACTGCTTCATATTTAAGAGTATTTTTGGGGGGATTTTATGATAAATACCAATAAAAAGTTGTGCATAATTGTGGAGTGGAAAGAAGTTTTTCAAATGTGTTTTCAAATTGAAATTTGAACATTGTGGCAGTGTATTTTCCCTGTATTTAATTCCTTTATATTCACACCAGATTCCCTATATTTGCTGATAAAAGTACAGTGAAGCTTCAATGTGTTGATGATACGTTCAGTTTTCATGATGCTTTTTGTTCCTTAATTCTTTCAGACAAACTTTGGAGGTATTCTCTGAAGGGTGGTAATGTTTACCCATAGAGAGGACTGAATACAAATGATTGTGACACTTTGATCCTGAAAAACATAGATCATTATCCCTTCACAACTGTGCCCCTTCCATAACTTACCCAATTTCACAAAATTCAAATGATTAGGAAGAAGAGACCTTTCAAGAATTTGAGGTGTGGTCTGTAAAATGATCCAAATTGAAATCAAACTGAATTGCTTGTTTGATTTCTGATTTCTGTCTCGTTTTGGTCGTATTTATCTTTATTTTGACCTGTTGTGTGATCGACGTCCAAGTATGACTGAATGAAGTCCTGTCAACAATCAACAGGTTAACATTTGGGATAATGTGAACAAGCAGAGGCTGGATTCCAGCTTTTCCTGTCATGCACGGGCTTGAGCAGTTCTGCAGGCTTGTCAAACAACTTGTTGTAAGCCACCCTGAATGTTTCTGCAGCGTTGTTTGCCTTGGTGTGGACCAGCCGATGTCGGGGCCTCTCTGTCTGCTTCTAATTTCTTTGCTGGCTCCGTCCTTCCCAGACCAGTCCAGAGGAGCCCGTGGCTCCAAACTCAGCCAACACAGACAACGTGGAACTCTAAGCGCACTGGATCACTAAAACATTACATGTAACGTAAACCATGAGAAATATCCCTCTATGTTTTACACACATAACTCTTTGTATATGACTGTGGATGGGTATAGTGATTCCTAGAGTCTTTTTTTTTTTTTTTTTAACTACTGCGTAAGCACACACTGCCTTTTGTACTGACTCCAGGCTGTGCTGGATGGGTCTGTGTGTCCTCTTGATTTTGTGGGTGTGGGATATGGATTCATGGGTTTCTGAATGGGCTTCTTTGTGTTTTCAGGCATTACCGCATCGAGTTGATGGCAGCCCTGTCGCCCGAGTGCTCTTCTAGAGGCAAAAACTCACGAAAATCAGTACAAACGCTACCAAATAGCCATGCCCTTTGCTGTTAGTCATTACTCACAGCATGAAATGAAGTTTCCTAAATGTTCTATCATAAAATGCCTTTGTCAAATTAGAGCTCTGGATAAGTTTGGTTTAATCTGTTCTTCGCATGCCTATCCAAATAGTTCCCATCTGGCGAGAAAAGCAGATGAAACAATTTGAGTAACGCAGCTTTTAATCATGAGGAAACAAATAGCAGGGAGACCAAAAGAATCCCACTTTATCAAATCCTTCAGGATGTGGTACAACAAAGCTGAGAAAAAATGTTTCATCTGCTCATAAATCAGCTAAAAATCATGTCAAAACACACAAATAGTGTCTAGCAAATTATTTTTTTTGCAAGCTGTTTGCACACAAATGTAAACCTTATATGGTATACGAAGAACAAAAGATGGAGATGAGGGCTACTTTGAACTGTGTTGATGGTGGGACGCTTGCATACATGCATGCATAGCTTTTCGCTTCATTAGCTACCCTTCATTTAGCCAGCTATATTTAACGAAGGCTGGAGGTAATTTACGGATTTGCAATCAGTAAGTCCACTCTGAACTTTAATACAGAGTTCATGCAAAGACATGATCTCGTCTTTTATGTAACAGAAGGTATTTCTTATAAGGGTAAAAATAGAAAGCACTGGAGCTACAGTACAAACTATGAAGGTACAAATGGCCAACTAATAGATGGAAGCATTTATACAAAAGCACTATATGAAGTCAGTCCATTAACTCTTTAATAAGAGAAAGTAAATTTTTTTGGAGAATAATAAATGTTTTCCAGCCAAGAGTTGTATAAAAATATTCTTGTATCTTTACATGAAATTTGAAACTATGGATATGTAGTTTTTAAAAAATATCAATAAATACATACATATAAAACCACTGTAATCCTGAATCAGTACTTTTGCATTAAGGAACAGTCATGAAAAAAGTTGCAGCGCCACTAACAAAGTCATCTGAGACATGATATAAAATATTATATATGATATAATTAAGTACTTTATGAAAATTAAGGATCTGCCTTATAGCCAGACATTTGGTTGTGTTCTTGTATAAAGAAGTATCTTATTCAAGATGCTACATACAAAGTATACACATGAGGCAGTTCTCCAACAAAAATGCACCTCTATAAAATCTACTTAATTGTCAGTCAATATTTAAACGGAATGTCATTTTCTATGTCACAACATATCTTTTCATCAAAAGTCTTGAAGGTGTTAGCATGCAGCAAATTTGCAAAAGATACCATCACCTCCTTCAAACTGAAGCTGCAGCTCCCTCCATACTTTTGATGCCTTCCTTGGCAGAAAAAAATAACTGAGCCAATGTGATAAAATATGACATGAATGACATGACACCTGGGCATTTATTATGTGTGTTTTCCTATGCGGTGCTATAGCAAGTGATGAGCCTTAATTCAAGCCCACAGACAAATAAAAAAATGAATTTAAGAAAATCGGATGATAAAGTAGAAAACGTGGAGAAACACCAACATCACATAATTCAGCAGCATTCATACTGACGGACTAACACCAGTTTAACAAATTGTAAATCTAAAATCCTCAGAAAACCTCATTCCCATCATAACCACATGAATTTTGAGGTTCATTTCTGTGTGGCGCTGCAGCAACCCCATTGCTCTGGAGACTTTCCAGAGGCCCGTTTTTCAGACTCACACAGCTCATGCAAGTAGCCCTGCTGCCCCTCCTCATGTCAGGACATGAGGGAGGTGGGTTTTTGCTCTGTCTCTCTCACGTGGCATCTGGCACGTTTGACCCACATTATGCCTTCTGCTGCGTGTATTAATAACCGCATGCTCCTCTGTGTGCTCTTAGGCCAGGACACAGCTCAGGTTTCAGCTCATTATGTGAAGCTAATTTGCTAATGTTGGTCATTTAAAAAACGAGCAAGACGATATACCACAAGTTTATTCTGCTACTGGATGTCCTAATCTAAAGCTCTCTGTGAAATTAGAATTAATCTTCAGACAATAACATTTTGGCTGCTGGTGCGATGCTCTGTGATGCACCATGGAAAAGTCTCGAATCACTCCTAATTTTCTCATTCCGTAAGTTCTTGTAATCTTATAAAGTGATCATGAGCTATATATCCCACAGACTTTCCGAAGATCATTTAAAGTGTTCATTTGAACACCTGGCAAATTAAAAATAAATCATCTAAATTGGGGAGCTTTGTTACAAGCAGTCTATTGTGTTCAACAGCTTTATTGGCTGCAATTTTGAGTACGTAAAATAAAATGAATGTAAAACAACTATAAAATACAACGGCAGGCGTTTGGACATTAAATCTTTTGATTCGAACATTTATGGGCTGTAAAGATTCCAGGAGAAAATGCTTTTGGACAATGAAATTTTGATTTATTTTAAGTACCTGGAGTAAAGTAGTTAAAATATGAAAAAGATCAAATTCGTGTTTCAATAGACTACACCTTCCATTCAAACAAAAGGGAAAAATTAAAAGTAGTCAGTTTGAAGTTTGTAACTATATTAATAAATGAGCTTCTGAAGCAGATATTTAGCATCGCAGTTCTACTGTCACTAAGAAAAATAGGGAGCTTGAAAAACAAAAACAAAAGTGAAATAGCAACAAAAAGATGCCCGTGAGCATTGTTGGTCCTATATTTGAAGCAATAGTTAAAATACATCACTTACGAATTGTAGGCTATTTTTATCAGGCCCCAGTTTATGTGAAAAAAGGAATTGAACACAACAAAAAGATAAGACTGAAGGAATTATTTAATTTTTAACAGTCACTGAAAAAAGAACTGGAATCAAA